GCGTGACTTTCGAGGCAACAGGCGGGCTGCGGGGGTTGGCGGTCGTCGGGCCGCGCGGCTTCGCTGCCGTCCAGCCGGTCTGATCGCCGGTGTTCTTGGCCCGGGGGGCGGGGAGGCGGCGGCAGCGGAAGGGGCTGTGTGTGCGTTGGCGGGGGGGGGGGCGACCTCGGCGTTGGAGCCGGGCAGACGAAGGAGCCGTCGGTCGCCGTCGCTGTGCAGCCCCCGCCGCCCCTTCTGAGCTACGCGGTTGTTGCGCTCCCCCCGCGGGACGTCTCCGGCGCGGGAAGGCGAGCGCACCGCAGCGCTCTCCCGCCCTTCTCCTTCTCCTTCTCGGGGAAATGGGATGGGCCCGCCTCGGATGCAGAGGAAGGGACGCGGCGGCGAGGGGGGACAGTGGGAGCCCGGCAGGACCCTCCCCCCCCCCGGGCCGCTCGCGCCGCTCTTCCTGCCCTGGGCGGCCTCCGGGGCCCTGCGGACGGGGCTGCGTTGCCGCGGGCTGGCGGGCCGGGCTCTGGGGGCCCACGGCCAATCCAGCTGCAGGGACGAATGGAGCGCACGAAGGAGCCGGCCCCTGGGGGGAAGCAGGGGCTGCGTCGTTCCCAGGCGTGGAAAGCCTCTCCCAACCTGGAGCCCTCCAGATGCGGCTGGCTAAGGCAGGGCCTCTGCCCAGCACAACGTGCATCGGGTTTCACCCATGATAACGCGGACAGGAGCGAGTTAGCCCGTGCCTGTCCCTGCTGCGGTGCATTGAAGGGCAAGGGTGATAGTTGCGGATCAGCGTTCCTCAGCTTGCTCGCAGGTGCCCATGTCGGGCTGGCCAGGAGCCTGTGGACGCTCACGCCCGGCCAGCCGCATTGGAGTGGATTCCAGCATCCCCAGCCGGCGCAGCCGCCGTTGGAGTACACCAGACTGGAGAAGGAAAGAGCTAGAAGGGCTTCCCCAGAGTGCCTGAAGTGTACATTCTGGGGTTGACCTGAAAGTGTGTGCGTGTGGGGGGGGCGTTTTTTGGGATCTGGGAATGAAAAGAGAATCCCTTAAACCCACCAAAGCAGAGCTAAGGCAGGGCATTTGGGAATCATGGGGAATGTTCATACGGAATGAGAATTCTTAGTGTTAGCAGGAAGCGCAAGAAGCTGGACCAGCTTCCCTTCGGGGGGAATTTATAATGTTGCAGAAGGCACTGCACGGCAAGCCTGTTTCTCCTCTCTCGCAGTCCTCGAACCCAGCTGGGCGGGAGACCTGGGGTGGATCGGAGGTGCCCTGTTGTGTGCAGCCCGTAGCTAAACCTGGCATTCAGCCCCATGGGATGTGGGAGTGCCCCCTTTATAAAGGAGGAAGAGGAGGAGGCTTCCTGTGGCCGAGCAGGCCCTCACCATCGGTGGGAAGGTGCAGTTGTGTGGCAGGTGCAACGGGACTGGAAAGGTGCGGCATCGATCCTTTGTGGGCTTCCCGAGGTGGCCAGTGGGTCATGGTGAGGACCTTTGGTATGATGCAGCATCTTCCTGAACGCATGAAGGAGAAGAGTTGGAGAAACCCGCAAAGGAATGCTGCGATTCCCCCAGGTTGGCCTCGTTTGTCCTGCACATGTGCCAAAGCTTCCTGACGATCCTGCCTGGAAATCAGTTCCCGCTCCTCCGTGGCTGGGGGTCATTGCTGCCCGCTGGAGATCCAGCATGCGGAGCTGGGGGAGCGTGCGCAGGTTTGCGTGGTTCATCTCGGAGACGCTTTGCCACGTGTGTGTCTCCACTGAGAGGCTACCGTGAAAGCTCCGCTGCTTTGAATGGAGTTGGGCAAATTCATGGCAGGAAGGCCGCCAGTCCCGTTGGCCGCCTCCAGTATGCAGACTCCTGGGAACACGGGCGGCAGGGCCCGGTTGTGCTTGAGTCGTCTTGAAATATTTGCCTTGCAGCGCCCGTTGCCGTTTGCCGTTTTGTGGTGGGGCAGGCAGGATGCAGGCTGACGTGGGGCCAGGGATTGGCCGGTGGGCCTCCCATCCCGTGTACGTGTGCCCTGTTTTGGATGCCTTCCGAGCGTGGCCTCTTGCGTTGCCCCACCGTTCTGCTAAGTGCTCTGCGCCAAGTGGGAATAATGACCATTGGTCCGATGTGCCCTGGCAAACTCCACCATCCTCTTCCTCTGGAGTCAGCCCCGAGGAGAGAGACACCGAGGCAGAGCAAGCCTCCCCTTGAAGCGCGGGGGGCTTTAATAACGCTTCACCTTGGCTGGCTGCAGATTCTTCAGCTAAGGGCCCCACTTTCTGACATCACAGATGCTTGTAATATTTTGTTCATGAGTAAGGGAGAGCTTCTGTTCAAATGAGCCGTGATAATTGGCAGTGCTAGGAAACGGCTCCATTTGGCAGATGTTGCTAAAGTCGAATTTTGGCGCAGCTCTGACGGGGTCACTTTCCATCCAGCGTGAAATAGGGCATTCCCTGATCTCTGGTAATTTTATATCCCGATCCGAAACGTATTTATTGTGCATTAAGCCTTTGATTCTGGTGAATACGTGGAAGGCTGTGAACTGGCTTGCTGCAGCTCCGATGCTTATCTATATTTGGTGGCATGCAGCGGTCTGCTTGCTGAAGGAAACAAATGCTCTGATTTGTGCATTTGAAAAGCTCTGCCTGCATCAGGGTCTTGTGGGGGGGGGCTGGGAGGGGCTCCGTCCAGCCCTTGGCAGCTTGTCGTGTTTGCTTCTTGCTCGCTGGTGCCAGCGGCTCGTGAGGGCCCAGATTGAGACAAGGAAACCCACCAGCGGCCACTTGGATTCCACCTTTGTGGCTGCTCCCTCTGCCCAGCCGCAGGAGTAGAGTCTGGCATTTACTGGCCAGGAGGTGGGGGCTTCGGTGGGCCATGGGGAGGGGCAGGTTGCGGGGAGAAAAGCAATGTTCGGACAGGTTGCAAAGTTAGGAGGGCTAGCAGAACCGAGGATCACCTAGGCCAGCCTCCCCCAAGATGTGCCTTCCAGGCTTGTTCTGCCACAACCCCTGGCACTGCTATCCAGCTGAGAATGCTTGGTGTTGTAGTCCAACCCAACTGGCGGGCAGCAGAACAGTGTCTTGCACTATACTGGTTGATCGATTGGATTTCTACCCTGCCCCATTAGCCACACGACTCCCTGCACTGGAATGGACTGTAACACAGAAACATGGAAACAGAGCGAGCCAGAAGGGGCCTCTGGGCCATCTAGTCTGACCCCCGGCTCCGGCCGGCTCCGCTCACGACACGCCCACCCTGTAACCCTCCACCCGAAGAAGTTTGTCTTATTCAGACTTCTGCAGGCTAGTTGCTTCCCCGGATAATCTCCAGTGAGTGAGATCGTTTTAGGCCACAACCCTAAGAGATAGGCCTGCCACTATGTTGGCTGGGAAATGCTACAGGTCGCAGAGCTTTTTTCTGTCTAAACAGGCGTAGGATTTCAGCCTTAACCGGATGAGATACCAGCTGGTGGAAACTTCCACATGGCCGCCTGGAAGCGAGGAAAAGAGCTCCCTTGTGGTGTTGGCTGCTGAGGCCCCTGGGGGGGGGGGGGGGTCCAGGGCAGAGGGCTCAGGTGGATTTTCCTTCTAGGTGCTGCTTTGGAAGGGTGCAGGTGTTTGGCAGAGCTTTGTGCCAGGTCTCTCAGAGGCCTTGCCCTGGACCAGTTCTTGCCTCCCCTCTTGTACTTCCCTGTCCATTGTGCCAGTTCACAAGGATAAGGAAATTCTAAAATCCAGAACTTTGCGGGATCAACCCAGAGGTCATACAATGTGCAAGCTTCTGCAATGCACAGATCTCTTTCTCAGGTAAAACATTCCAAAGCAGCAAGGGAGAACACGGAGGGGAAAAGATCTCTGCTGTGGTAGTGAAGTCACATTTCCTGCATGTTTAGCTTTCCAAGATGGAATTGGGGGAGCTGGCTGCGCAGACACTCATTTTCGGCTCTGCGGGTCATGTGCTGGTTATGGGTCGGACCTGTAAGGTGCCCCTCTGATTGTTGCCAAGTGGAATGGGGGAAATACTGGATCCTGCATTTTGGAAATACAGAATCTGGCTCTTACTCATCCTGGCCGAAGCACACCAGCTGCCTCTAGCAGGGGCCCAAAGAGAGAAATAGGCAGTGTGTATCAACAAAGCAGGAAACAATTTTAGATGTGGTGCAAGCACTGAATGGGCTTTTACACCCTGTTTTCCAAGCTGGCTCTTTGTTCCATGTTTTTGGCTTGGAAGGTTCATTTCCTGACCGGATGCCTGTGTCCGGAAAAAGCTGTTTGTGCTGTATTTGGTGACGGTTAGCTTGATGCCTCGGTGTGTGTGGAATCAGGTGGGACGCCAGGGACGTCCCAGCTGTGTCCCCCCTCCCCAGCCGTGCTGATCCAAAACAGACCACTTGAAAAGGTTGCCGTTCCCGCAGAGTCCCCTTCCTCCGATACCCTTCTGTGGTCATGGAAGGTTGCTTGACAGACCATTTGTCACCGGGAATTCCCCAGTCTGACAGCCACCATTTCCAGCCCTCGTGTCATTTATGGTTTTTGTCTGGGCTTTTGATTCACACTGCGCTTTGCAATCCGAAATACGATTACTTGTGCAATGGGCCAAGTTTGCCAGTTCATAGAGGAACTTCTAGGAACAGCGAGTTTCTCTGAAGTTGCTCAGCAAAAACCTTTGGGGATGCCGAGCGTGAAAAATGTTTGCTTCAGGTTGGTGATCTACAGACACAGTGGCTCAAGCGGCTGCGCGGACTGAGGCCAAGATCCTTAGCACACATGTGCCAGGTGGGCACACGACTTGAA